TATATTTACTTATTGCAATATTGCGCAGATGTTTTCTAACCAAATTGGTTTTTTTTAAATTATAATTATCCTTGCTTGATTATTTTTATTTTATATTATATATGTATTGTGAAATATCTAATTTAAAATACATATATACATTGAAATTCAGTTAAAAAAACTTAATTGAAAATGTTTTAATTACCATTTTAAGAGCTTGTATTCTTTAATTGCATCTTCTAAACTTGCATTTTTTCAATAAATGCTTTTACTCAAGTCCTAAAAATCCTAAAATTTACAGAGATGCAATAAATCATTTAATATTTTTACTCCATGTTTATTATTATATACTTACAGAAACAAGATCTGATTTTGAAAAATACTGAAAAGAAAAGGTTTTGGAACTGGAAATCTAATTAAAATCATTGCGAAATCTAATGGAAATTATCTAATTGAAATTTAAGCATATTTGTTTGTAAAAACTTTAAAAAACGTTTTTACATATAAATAGTCTTTTTATTTTATTCTCAGAAATAAATTCGTTAAATGATCTTTAAAGTTATGCAAAACATAATAAAATATTGCAGTTAAAAAGACTGAAAATTGTAGAAGAAGAAAAAAAATTAACTGCTACATTTTTCAAAAAAAATTTTAATGAAAACAAATTACCGGCGAAACTTTCTTCAGCTTAAGATCATACAACAAAAGCTTTTAGTAATAAAAAGTGTCTAACAAAAACATTTAATAAATAAAAATATACTTTTCTTAAGTAGAAATAATCATTCAAAAGGTACCAAATTCTCTCGAAAGCAAAAATGTTATTGCAGTGGTATTAAAATTAATTCAAATCATGTAGTTTTCCATTTTTTATAGTAAGTGATCTTTCCTGTGTAAATGCTTCAAAATATTCTGCTGTGTGTCAGGCGTTTTCTCTGCAAAATTCACTTTACGAATTTTTCTGAATATTTTTCAAAAAGTTTTGATTCTGGGATTGATTTCCGATTTTCTCGTATGAAATATGAAGGTATTCTTTGCTACGAATAAGTCTTTTTTTCTAAATGTGAAGATCCAGTTTATACTGTGATGAAAAAAAAATTATTTCCCACAAACTTTAAACATGCTGTGGTCTACTCCTTGTCATCTCTTTTTCCAGCAGGTGATAAATACAAAAATCCGTGGGGGAAAGCATACAGAGATTTAATACTTCATGCGGTTAAATGTCATATAATATATTTTGTCATATAATTTATTATATTTTTAAAAAGTAGATTGTTAAAGTGATAATGTGACTGTACGCCTTATCACTGTGGAACCAGACAGTTTGTTACCATTCTCATACAGGGCAAAAATATCAAAACGAAATATTGATCATATGTAGACTAACATCATAATCGTGATGCCAACTTCCACAGTTATTTTCGGAAATTTTAGAATATTTTCTAAAACTTTTCTAATATCAGACCTCTCCACGAATTTAAGAATTTTTAGCATCAAAAGTGCTATTAGTCTTGGAACTTATTTTTTTGTTCGTATCACTTTTGTGTCTGAATCAATTTTCAAATTCTTGCCACCAAATGTTATCACCATGTATTATTTTTCAAATAAATTATATGATGAAGAATCTTTAAGTACATTTTTATGTTTCTTGAAATGTGGGAAAACGACGGCACCTAGAGCCACCAAATTTTTTATGCACGTAGTGTTCCACCCTAACATGTGCACACTGAATCCCGAATTTTGAATTTCGAATTTGTTTTATTATTAGTTCAAAGGGACGTTAGTCCAGAAGGTCTATTAGTCTCGAAAGGGCATTTTACTTCGGTTCACTATAAATGTCCATTTCACTTTTCATATTGTTATCGCCAAATATTATCGCCCTATATTACATTTAAAGAAATTAAATAATGAAGTATCTACATCAATGTATGTATATTTCTCGCACTGTGAAAAAATGACGGTACCTAGAGCCATCAAATTTTGAACAGCGTAGTCCTCCACCCGAATTTTGACACCTGAAAGCACGAATTTGGAAATATGAATTTGTTTTATTGTCTCTTTCATATTTTTAAAAACTTTAACAAAGTTCTGAATATTAAACTCCGATTTCACAGCGAGCAAGGGCAAACCTGTACGAAAAAAAAAAACATGCATATCTCCAGCATGAAGACTTCTATCGGAAATTCTAAAGATAGGCTGTTTTTAAATATTTTTGGCCCAAATGCTCTCGAAACGTGTATGTGTATGTAAATGAAAAAAAAGTGCCTTACGTAATATAAAATCTGAAAGCTTTCAGGTTTTTATTATCATTAGTATTACTTTATTTCACACTTCTTAAAAGTGTAATGATTTCTGATTAACAAACTCAACGATCTAAAAGCCAGCAGTGAAAATGAAATAGGTTAGCAGGAGTGAGTGTAAGAGCAGACTAGTAGACTGCTAGCTCAGCGACAGCGCTAAAAACCTTTGTAGGCGACTGGTAAAATCTTAAAACTTTCAGATTTTTTTCAAATTTTATACAGATTTAATGAATTTTTTATTAACATCTCGGCAATTGAAAAAGAGAAATGGCACCACTACTCAAAATAAAACATTTTTATTTACAGCGAAGCCAGATTGCTGCCATTCGACAAAAATGTGAGATATTTATCTTACGTGATATATTTATCTATTTGTGAGATATCTTTACTTTTTAAATTTTTATCAACAAACTCGGATATTTGAAAGCAATGAGTTAACATGACGGAAATAAAATATTGGTATTTTCCATGCGCCAGCGTATTGCCATTCAGTAAAGCCTAAAGTATTTAACTTCTTTTAGATTTAATGTTGAAGGTTACTGAGTAACTAAAGAGAAGAGACAAAAGAAGCTACGCATTTTGTTTCAAAGCACATTTCGAAAAGATTTTTTTTTCCTGCAGAAAAACGTTTCAAAATCTTGTATTTAGTGATATTCAGTTTTGTATGAATCGTTAATCAAGGATTTAAATTATAGAATTGTATAATATTTTCCAAAATGAATTCTGCATATTACTGATTTACCCTTCCTTAAAAGTTTCTTTTAGATAAGAAATAATTTAGGAATTAAAACATTTTTGTTGAATACTCATATAAAATTTCTTATAGTTTTGCGTCACGTGTGTCACGTATCCAGAGCTATCTGAACTATCTGAGGCCTGCATTATTTGATACATTTCCTAAATTTAAGCCGTAAGTGTAAGATCAGCCATTGAAGACATATTTAATTGTACAATATTTTTTAAACTCCTTACGTATTTATAACAGAATAAATAAATTTGTGCATACATAAATTTCTATTTAAGTAACACATTTACAATAGTATGTGTTTCTGTAAACAGTGAAAGCATCTGGTAATAACTGAAGTTTGAAATTAAACAATAAAATAATTTAGAATGGAAAAGAATTTTGACCTGTAATGATTTCGAAGACGAACAGACATAGGTATCACTTTTTCAGGAGCAAAATATTTTTGCAATGTCGGGAGAAGCAATAATAACTCAACAGAAGCAATTATAACGTATTATTATTTCTATAATCTATAGTTCTATTTGGGAAAGCTTTTGATTTGTATATTCGATTCAAATCACTACTTCAAATTAAGTCTTAATGACTTTTATTTACACACATCTTTTATATTACAATATATACATAAGATTAATTTCAAATCAAAAGATGGGAATTATCCCCCCTTCGTATCAAATTCTATCAAGAGAAACCGAGGGCGCTACTGCTCTTTTTTTTAAGTTCGTTTTTCGACTCCTCGTTGCCACTGGCAGAAGAGAAACTTTCGCTCATTTAGCGTTCGAGTTGTAACACGTATATTGATAATGAAATAAATGGAAGGGGGCAGAGAAACAACCAAAGTAGCGAAATCTATAGAGAAAAGCAATAACAAAACGTAAAATTGCTAAGATATTTGTATTTTGAATTTGTTTGAAAGAATTTTTTCGATTAATATCATTAACGTAAAATGGTAAATTTTTATCAAAAAGAATCCCTCTTCACTAAACGAAGACTTTTTCTGCATAATGTTTACAGAATTGGATCAAAACTGACCAACTACGAAGTTAAGTGACCAGCTCGATTAGTTATCAAAAATTTACTCATGTCACTTTATCGAACATACAATTACATCGACCAAACTAAAACAACATGAAAATTTTACTTAAAAGAGTCCGAACTCTATCTTCAGATGGGAAACTGAACGAGCAAATCTTCAATAATTAACCTTGTTCACTTAACCACAGTTTTTATTGGGGTTCTGCGAAAATTATCCGCAAAGCCTTTCAATTGGATTTCGTGAAGATTTTCACATTCTCCAAAGTCTGCCATCTTTAGTTTGTGAAATTAATGCTTTGAAAATTCTAACATCTTACATTTTCGCGTTTTGTTACCATGTTCTTCAAAAGTTGCCACTACGTTCGCTTTCGTTTTGCTTTCCTCACTGAAAAAAAGGAGGAAAATTCCTTACAGTCTTCCCTCTGCTTGAAGACTGAAAAGGAGAACACCAATCGCCAAATTCTATCCCACCTTTACTAAAGCAATTTTGCTAATGATGGAAAGGGGCATATATCTGATCACTGTCAAAATCGATAGAGTTTTATTCAAAACTTAAGACAATTCAGATTTGCATAATTTTCCATTCTGCAATGGCGTATTTCTCTTCCGATTATACTTAATAGATACGTAGTTGTGCAAGAGCTTTTCAACACGTTGTGTATCAATAAAAAATGAATCAATAATTGTATACATTAAGCGTATACAAGAATTTCAGTTTCAGCAACATATTTACGACATTGTACGTTTATGTAAACAGGAAAACATTTTGGTATTAATTAAAAATGCAAAATATAAGCGCATTGGTTAATGGAAGATTCCTTCTACTATCTGTACCACACTCATTATTTCTTTTTTCATATTTTCGTTTGTTTATGTAAATAAATTTATTTCCAAAATAAACAAATAAATAAAAAGATGCTAATAATCCTTTTCTATCTGAAAAGCCTCCGTCGACCCGAGGGTTGGAGAATTCACCTTGGAAACCATCACAAGTTCGAGCGAGATGAGCATGAACAAATCCGCTATGCAGAGCGTATAGTCATACATGACGACATCCCACCTCACCAGGTGAGTTGTTTTAACCAGGCCATTCATTACAAATTTCGGAAATCCTAAATTGTAATGCAGATATAAATATATGTATTAGCACGACGAATACCAGCTCTATAACTGTTGGTCATCAGACATATTTCTCACATTTTATCTACCTTTCTATCTGCTATCTTGTCTTTTTAGAGCCGCAAGCATTATTTTGGAGTAACTTTCTCGTGATATTTATTACGAGAAACCTTAAAAAATCCTTAAGACGATTCCTTAAGGAGTAACCTCCTTAGGAACCCGTTCTAAGAAAGCGTGTTCTTATTAGGTATTTTTTAGATGCTATGACTTTTACTGGGTGGTTTCCAGTGTATTGAGGGGGATAGAAAAATATATAATGATCAGGATCTTCTCTTTCTTTACAGATGGAACGATCGTTGCTTGTTCCTTTCCTTGCGATCAGATATTTGGAGAAGAGATCATGACCTGTAACGCCCTTAATACAGAAATTAATTGTTAATGTTAATACATAAACTATTAATGTCATTGTTAATACAGAAATCAATATAGGATGTGGAATTATCAGCCGAGGAAATAAGTTCAGAAACTCCTCTCCTTTTATCTGTATTGTCCGACTTATTTTACTACGTTCGGGCAAACGAGGAATAATCAGTATCGGGTACAATTATTCTCAATAATGATACAATTATCTAATATTAATTATCCGCACCTTAAGTATTATCAAGATATTTTGTTAAAAATACCCTATTCATAATTCATAATATGTTTGTTTCCCTGAAAAATTCAAACTAGTGTTAGTCGTCCTCGAAATGTGCCAAGCTTTTCAGTAAAACCAAACTTCAATCAAAGCTTAAATTCTGCCTAACGTTAAACATGGGGCGGGGGAAACTTTTTTATTTACCTTTATTTGTATTGTGAGGATATGAGTTTTTATATTCTTCTGTCGGGGCTAAATATCTAAAATTAGATGAACCGGGATTAGAAAATTAGAAAATCGTCAGAAATGTAAAATACAAATAAAAATAAAAAATAAAATATAAGATAAATAGGCAATTGTATTGAAGATAAATAAAAAATTAGTAAATTAAATTAACGATGTATGGATAAAAATAAATTAAATTAATATAAATATAACACGAAATACGTAAATGATAAAGTCAAATGAAAGGTGATAAAAACTAATGATATTAAGGTATGTTACCGAAGGTAAAAGAAAAAAATATTTGAAGCAGTATTTGAGGTCAGATAAAAGCGGCATTTGATTTAAATATTTCATATAAGTTTCATTTACTAGTGGTACAACACATAAATATTCCACATTCTAAAGCCGTCGCATTTCGACAATTCTCCTCAGGGCCTTACGTTCAGTAGATAATATCAATATTAGTTTTACAAACGGCTAAAAGAAATTCTGAAAGAATAATACAGTTTTCTAGTAATACTGCGATTCGGTTATAATACAACATAAGAGAATTCATCTTATTTGAATCTCCAACTACTGTGAAGATCACACTATTCTTTAGCTGTTGTGCTTCATGGCTAGGTTTAGAACTCGGGATCTCCAGTTCCGTAGTTGGACACCTAAATCGATCACATCAGAAACAGCTATCTAAACATGAAACGAGTCTTTTCTGCGCGGCTCTGCATTCTTAAAAATAAAGGCTTGTATCAACTTCGCATATTTCTAAGTTGTCAGACACCACACACACAGTTCTATGTTTCATTAAAATATAGAAAGTTGAAAGCATGACTTTGGTCATTAGCCATAGGGCTAAGACATGCATTTATATCTTTCGACTACTGATAATAATATATTAGGAGCTTTTCTGTCAATATACTATCATCTCAGTGAATCGGTCGCCCTTTAAGAATGCAAAGTGCAAACTACTCCTATACTTTGTTCGGTGTGGTTTCAGCGGTTGTTTTGCCTTTAGTCTTCTTAGTTTCAGGTTACTTCGTTTCAATTACGTTTTTGCTGATAAGGATCATTTTGTGTTCATACGTATCATTTCCTATTCGATCTGTTAAAACAGCAAATATTCTATTGATAACTATGTTTCTATTAAAGAATATGAAAACGTTATACAGAAGCAGGTATCTTAAATGGCTGATTACATTTCACTGATAAAATGTGTGCTTAAAACTTAGAGATAAACAAAGGATTTTATCCAACGTGCGTTGAAGCAGTTTTTATTCTATTCGGATATGATTTATATTTCTTTTAAAAGACATTTTTTTTCTGAGCTGAATAATCATTGATGAAGTACTTCTTCACTAAATTATTTTTGTACATCAAAATGGACAATAAGCTAACTCCAAATCATTGGATATATTGGGTCATATAAGAAGTCACGGTTTTTTGCCACTAGGTGGTGTTAATGCCTATATATCCAGCAACACTCACCCGATTGTCTCAAACGAACATGTGCTTAAAAGGTGACATTGATCGTTGCTCGTGTAAAAAGTTATACTGATTTGAAAATGAGTGAAATATCTGAAGAAATACGCTATGCGATGCTTTTTTACTATAAAAATGGTAAAAACGCTGAAAAAAACATACCGAAAAATTTGTGAAGTTTATAGTAAGGATGCTGTGACTGAACGAACGACCCGGAAGTGGTTTAATCAATTCCGTTCCCGAAATTTAGATGTCAAAAATTCGGAATTGTCCATTATGAGCTGCTGCAACCTGACAAACCATCAATTGTACTGTGCAAAACTCGACTGTTTGAACGAAGTAATGTAGAAAGAGAGACTAAAATTAGCCAACAGAAAGGGAATTGTGTTCCATTATGACAATGCGCGGCCACTTACATTTCTGATGACACGGAACAAATTGACGAAACTTGGTTGGGAAGTTTTGATGCATCCACCGTATAGCCCGGACCTTGTACCGTCTGATTGCCATTTGTTTCGGTCTCCCTTCCTATCACTAACTCTAATCGTTTCGAAAATATAAATTAATTCAAAATGCCTGAAAGGATCGCTGAACATCTTTTAAAACCAAGAGAATCTTTGTCTCTCAATTCATCATCTACGAACATGATTATAGGCCACAATTAACATCAACAACGACGTAAATTTGTGGTCTTTATATCTTTTCAGGAAAGTAACAAAATAATGGCATTCTTCAATGTGAATTATTTCTGAAAATCGTGGACACTACTTTCAAAGTTCGCACATGGCTGCAGAAAGAGGATCTATAGTTTATCTTTATATTCTGGATTATTCCTTAGTACCCTAGTTAGATAAGTTGATACGTTGGCGCTAGTAACATAAGATTGTTAGCCCATTTCATAGTTTTTATCTCATAAACTTCAGATTTAAATCTAAACCTACAAAAGGAACATTATTTTAATATTGCCTCGGAAGGAGTTTACTCTATATTTTAAAATCTGCAATGCAGATAAGAAATTTACAGTTTTAATTTGAAAGAAAGGTCAAATATTACATGTCGCCTTGATTGATAGTAGTTTTTAGAAGTGATACTTCACCAACCCATATCCATATATTATCAAATCAATTAGCTAAAGTCAAATTATGTGAATGCCATGAATGAGATAAAATTAACTGGTATCCTGAGTACTGGTACTTCGTCAGATATTTTATTCCAAGCAAATAGGCTAGTTGGATGGCATTTTTACGATTATAACATGAATACCGGCTAGTTTTCTTAGTAGTGTCTTCTACGAAAGCATCCTTCCTGACACAGAAAATCCCTGTGCTATAATCAATAAATCAGCCTTTAAACTACGATTAAGCGAAAATTTACTAAAAGGTTTATGATTCTAGATAAAATTAACCACTTTTAAAATAGAAACATATTCAACCACTTAAAAAAAAGGTGAACGAATATGTGTCAGTTTGATAAATGATGTGAAACAATCACGTCTGATGTTGCGTTATTTAAAGATAAATCTAAGAATGCCTCTAAGTCAGTAGTAAAAAAAAAATCAGTTGGTGTCGAAGGGAAGCCTTTTGATTGTTGAAAATAAGTAAAATATATTCGTTTCGACAGCCGAGTATACAAAAACTGAATAAATAACAAAGCCACTTTCAGCTAACTATCGATCGCCGGCTTAATTAAAATGTGTATTTCTTCTCCGATTTACCAGCTCTTCTTTTTATTTTTCGAAGAGATCATTATTTTATTCAGTCTGTGGAAAGAAAATACAAGCAACTAAGATTTCCCCACCTAGAATGATCTTCACTCAAGACAAGGAAGCGTGGTTATTTTACTAGATCGCTTTCATTTTTTTAACTAATGTAACCTTAATTACATAGTTGATGTATAGTTTGTTCTTTTATACTGATGACAAGACAAACTAATTACTCGCGTGTCTTTGAATACTAATTGCCGACAATAATATTATGATGGATATGGAGTAACAAAATTTGGATAAAAAAAACTAAAAAGAAACGTTGCAAATTAAGGAATATCTGTATACGCTATTTCAAAAATAACACAAGCCTAAACGTCGAGAGATTTTTCTTTTTAAATAATGTCGAAAGATACTTATCTCTCTTAAATGTGAGGAACAGATGAAAAATGCAAAAAAATGGCAAGTAAACATGAGTGGAGTGGCAGCGATAATAAAAGGGGAAACGAAAAATAATCAAAAACAGATTAACTACAGACAAATTTAATTTCACAAAAACTTTTTTTATATGATTTTGATTTAACGAGGTTTAGAAAAATTTCTTAAAGAATATCTTTTCAAGGAAAATTTCTTATAATTTACATATATTAATAAAGATGCCACTATATCAAATTTTTAATAGTTTTTTTAATTTCAAAAATACTTTATGTTTCAGAACGCAATTAAAACTACATCAATATTAACCACAAGTTTTTATCTTACAAAATCAATCGAAAATGTTTTTCTTTTATTTTTCAGAGCCTTATTTTAATCTGCTAGCTAAGCGCTTTTAGAAAATAAATTTAAGCTGATAATGAACGAGGTAATGCGATAAAAAGAATTTTAAGTATTTATGATGAAAAGAACTGTATTAAGTCTAGTTTATTTGAAATGAAGCAACTGGAAATGACACTGACTGAGTTCCAGTTAATAAATATAAATATTAAGTAATATTTTTGCTCAACTTTTTGTATCCAAAAGTAAGTGACATATGTTTTTTTTATGGAAGATAATTACTTTTATGATCATATAGCTTCAAAAAAGTTTCTTAAGTACATCTGAATGTTTAAAAATCAAACTGACATTTAATCAAGGATTTCGTTGTGATTTCTTTGAAACTCCTTAAGCTTGGATAATCCTTCAGCTTGGAATCAATTTTCTAATTTTTTATATCATTGTTCTTATTTTAAACAAGTTCTTGGATGTATGGGTTGCCCAGTGCATAAAAATTTATTTATAATTATTTGCAGTTCCAAATATAATATGAAAGATGGGATTTTATTCAAAAATTCATTAAATTTCAGTTTCTATTTGGAAGAATAGTTACTTCAGATTTCCGACAGGGCTTTATAAAATAAACCTGGTCAAAAAACATTAAAAATAGCTATTAAATTGAAGAACTGCATTTTTCCCTCTTCGAAAATCATATTATCTGCTAAGGCCCACCAGCGGCCGAGCGGTAAAGACGCTGAACACTGATAGTTCGGTCCGAGGTTCGAATTCCTCGAACGGGCTGGCTGCATGGGCGTTTTCGTGGTTTTCCCCATGTGTAACATGTATACGAGCCAGTTTCCCTTAGAAAGTCCTTCACGAAGGCATCCCTCCCTTTAGGCAGATAGCCCTCGTGTGCTTTGCCGTAAGTGAATAATCCCTAATTCCCTATTATCTGCTAATCTAAAAATTTATTTATAAATCAAAAAGTTTCTGTAGAAAATATCTATGCAGGCTATTTGAAGAAGTAGCTACAGATTTTATTGCCTCGATTATTAAATCTGCCGCCTTGATTGGTATGGACAGTGATGCTGGCTACCGTAACGTTGGGTCCGAGTTCGAGACCGAAGAAGTGGTGGACGAGATATGCGACTACCCCAGTCGCCCTAAAAGTAAAAAGAAGGAAAGAAAGGTGAGAAGAAGGAAAGAAATTTTCTTCTTCCATACCAAGTATCTTCCTAGTATAGTTGAAAGTGCGTCAGGCTAGCATTTGGAAAGTCCAGAGTTCGAATGCCGGGGAAGACATAGCAGATTCCTCAAGTTTCTAGGCTTAGAAACCCGTAACAAACACTACAGCTAAAATAACTTTATAAAAGTACCATTATTTCTTTTTTCGGGACATCCTTGTGAAGGCGGATAGTTGACAACTTCAATAAAGGTGCCAAAGTCTTTATGACGAACACCACTTTGAAGATGTGCCAGTGACAAGACATAAAACTCCCTACTTTTCTGCAATATAGAAAAGAATAAGATAACTTCGCAATGAACTAAAATAATCTTAAGATAATGAGTTTAAGCTGTTTACCATTACATCTTTCAATTAAGTAAATTTTTTACATGTTATTAAATTTCTTTCTTCTTATTTGATTTATGTTTTATTCTGCAGGAATTCTACAGTTATGATTATCATTTTATCGTTTATTTTATTTTATCGTTTTTATTTCTATCCTCTGATAGCAAATGGCAGAGCGGCGCCACAGCTACAGGCACCTCGAGAAATTTCTCGAAATCCCGAGGCCTATCTGTACCTTTTTGCGGCTTGGCTTTTTATTCAGTCCGCTAACAAGCGAGGGAAAGAACAAAGTAGTCTTCGAAGTTTCAAGCAGTGGAACTTGAAAAAACCTCATTACTGTCTTTTCTATCTCTCAGCCTTTGCTGCATCTGCTTAAAAACTGTTTAAACTGCAAACGGTAGGATAGATATCAGCTCGAAAAGAATAGTTTGGGGTTGCAGAACGTAAACCAGAACTGGTTGATTAAAATCAGAATGTTACAAAAACTAGGTCTAAGCCAGATGTAGATCTGGGGATTCGCACTATCGCAACGAACACCTCTGTGTTCCACGGGGCCCGAAAATCATTAATTATTTTTTAAATAGTAAACACATTTTGTGTTTTAAACAATGGGACTCCTGGATGTTCTCATGAGAAGGTTCCGCCTTAAACAATAGGACTCCTGAGTAATGTTCTGATGTGTTTGGCCCTACATTTCATAAATCCACGCCTACTTTCGGCCTGAATTTGATTTAGACATAGCTCAGGCTCTCAAACATAACGGTCTTTTTTTTTTTTTTTTTTTTTTTTTTTTTTTTTTTTCCCATGTGCATTTTATTTATTTCTCTTACAGTTTGAAAAAGACGGAAGATTTGACATGAAACATGATATGGCACTCATAAAACTCAATGCCCCTGTCAAATGGAGTAAATACGTGAAGCCCATCTGCCTACCAGACAGTGACATCAAACTGAGCATCATCAGCAACTGTTATGCCACCGGCTGGGGTTCCTCTAGAGGTAAAGCTTGAAAAAACGCTTGGCTAAAAAATGGATCTTAGTTCTTAAAAAATTTTTTAATTCTTTGAAAAGCGTAACAGATTAAGTAAACAAACCATCTTACTATTTTACATTTCTTCTTTAAAACCATTGCCCTCAGGGGCTCACTTTTGTGAGTACGGGTGTGGCAATCCCGAGATACCCTAGCCCTTCAGGGGATCATCTTCTTGGTGAGACGGGTGTCACGATCCTAGAGCCTCAGTGATCTATCCTCTTTTCCGTCTCCTCTCCTCTTGGCTGGAACTTTTTTCTTTCCCTTCTTCCTCGTGGCTTCTCTCTACGGAGTTTGGGGCTCGTCACGAGAGGCTGGAACAGACCTTGTTTCTAGTTTTCGAGTGGCGAGAAAACTGCCCACGTGTTTGCCGTGCGTGGAGACCTATGTCGCTGGAAAGGAGGGTCCTGGTAGTTGAGGGGCGAGGTACTGTCTCCAACACACTGCTTTGGCCTCTGCTTCAGCTAAACGGGAGGCACCTTAGTCGTCCTCACGGGTGTCAATCGGCTGGTCACTAGTTTTTGTGTCAGTGGCTTGGGGTCAAGCTCTCGGGAGTACCTGCTTTCGGGAAAGCCGACTGTGGGGGCTTCAGTTTGCGTATAGGTCCGGCTAGTTCTAACACAGGAATCTGTGTTTCCTTGTTGGGCTTTGTGGTGGGTGGGGCCGTCGGACCCGAATTTTTTCTCTTTCAATTATGGCTTCTCTTTTCATTCTAAAAAAACCTGAATCAAATGAAACCAACAAAGATATAGAAATTGTTGACAAATCTATTAACAAGGAGATCTATACCGATGCAAATGCCAAAGAATCTACTGATTGTCCGCGCTTTGTTGTTGTTTCCAGTGCCTCTGGAGAATTGCAAAAGATGTCTCGTCTTCTCGTAAGCAAATACATTCAATCTTGCATAGGTGAGCCAAAGAACATAAAGCGTCTCCGATCAGGAGACCTGCTTATTGATACCATATCGGCCACCCAGTCTGCTTCTCTTTCTCAACAAACCAAACTTGGAGAAATATCTATAACTGTGTCAGCACACAAAACACTTAATTCTTGTAGAGGTGTGATCTCGGAGATTGACCTTCTGTGTGTTTCAGAAGAAGAGTTCGTCTCCGAGTTAGCTGACCAAAATGTCTGTGGTGTTAGGCGGATCAAGATGCGAAAGGAAGGCCAGTTGATTGACACGAAACACGTGATCCTGACCTTCAAATCGCCTGATCTGCCGAAGAATGTAAAGTTATGGGTATCTTAACTGTCCCGTAAGACATATATACCCAACCCAATGCGATGCTTCCAATGCCAGCGGTTTGGTCACTCTAAGACGACCTGTCGTGGACCCCTTACATGCGCCAGATGCTCGTTGGTTGGCCACGATAGTGAGAGTTGCACCGCTGCGCCATTGTGTGTTAACTGCAAAGGTGATCACCCAGCATTTTCTCGCTCTTGTCCAAAATGGAAATTTGAAAAGGAAGTGCAGGCGACAAAATAACTCGAAATGTGTCTTATACTGAAGCCCGGAAAATAGTACAAAGCTCACTAGTGCACCCAAATTTATCTTTTGCCAATGCTGTTAAGTCCACAAGATCAGTTGCCATCCAAACATCTTTCATTTCATCAACAGAAAGCCAAGAGCCTCAAACTAATAACAAAAACAAGAAAGACCCACTTCACACAATCCAGAAGAAAGAAATAGTAATTCAGAAAAATCCATAAACAAGCCTACAAAAAACAGCTAACAAAAACCGAAATCTGAGCAGTAGTTCAATTCACGATTTAATATCTGACACCCCGGACTCGGATAATATGGAAATAGAAGAAAAGAATGGAAATCCCAAAACACCTACTCCCTCGAAAGACAAAAAAGGAGCACCGAAAAAATAAACAGGAGACATAATGGCCACCCTTATCTCTTGGAATTGTCGCGGTTTCCACCGAAATTTGCTTGACATCAAAGCTATAATCAATACCTATAATCCTGTGTGCTTAGCAATACAAGAAACAAATCTGAAACAGGAACAACAAGCAAAATTTCGGAGGTTTTCTATTGTCAGGAAGGATAAGCTTGCAGGTGAGCGTGCCAGTGGGGGTGTAGGCCTCCTCACCTCACTGGATTATCCATCAAATGCACTTCCTTTGACGACATCCCTCCAAGTTGTCGCAACTCAAGCAAAATTTCATACTGTTGTCTCAGTCGTTTCTCTGTACTTGCCTCCAAATGAGCACATTCATCAGCAAGATTTAAATGATCTCATAGAGCAGCTGCCTCACCCCTTTATCATAATAAGAGATTTTAACGGCCATAGTCCTCTCTGGGGTAGTAAAGATACAAACTGCCGAGGAAGACAAATTGAGCAGATGATCGAAGATCATAGCCTTTGTCTCCTGAATAATGGGCAAGATACTTATTTCCATGAGCCTTCAAGGACATTTCACGCTCTCGACCTTGCCATCTGTTCACTATCTCTGTTGCCATTTTGCACTTTTAGTGTGGGAAATGATCTTTACAATAGCGATCACTATCCCATTTTATATCTCTTGCACGAAGAGGAGCAAACCCCATATCGAGATCCCCTCGATTCATACTCGATAGGGCAGACTGGGAACTCTTCTCTTCCACCGCAGAGCTCACAGAGAACATGGTAGAAGATGCGCATATCGATGATGCTGAAGCTGTTACTAATACTATTATTGCGGCAGTTATGCTTTCCATTCCTAGAACATCAGGAAAAATACTAAAATATACGAAACCATGGTGGAATTGCGACTGTCGTGAAGCACTGAAAAAACAGAAAAAAGCATGGGGAATTTTTCGTAGATATCCTATTCTGCGAAACCTATTAGCATTAAAAAAAGCCAAAGCGAATGCGCGAAAAGTAAGAAGGCAGAGCCAGAGGGATTCCTGGATTTCATATGTGTCATCAATAACATCCTCTAAGCGTAGTAAACGGGTTTGGGAAAGAGTTAAAAAAGCATGTGGAATATATAAAAACCACTCACTTTCCTTTCTGGAAAAAGATGGCCGAGTGATTAGCTCCATAGAAGAAATTTCGAATACAATTGGTGAGACATTTGCTGCCGTTTCTTCCAGTAGAAATTACTCACCTGCATTTCTTTCTATCTATCAAGCAGCGCTCTGAGAGAAATCCCATCGCTTTTAACACTTCCAACCTTGAGCCTTATAATAGAGACTTTACTGTGCTAGAGATAAAGAGAGCTTTGTTACAGACTCATAGGTCTTGTCCTGGTCTGGATGGCGTGTATTATGAAATGCTGAAGCATCTGTCCTATAAGTCACTGACTGTCCTTCTCACTCTTTACAATAGAGTGTGGAAGGAGCGTACCTTCCCCAGTGCATGGAGGAGAGCTGTTGTCATTCCTATTGTGAAGCCAGGGAAAGACCCGAGGAATCCCTCAAACCATAGGCCGATTGCCCTTATCAGTTGTGTTTGCAAACTGTTTGAAAAGATGGTAAACAGCCGCCTAGTCTACTTCTTGGAAAAGAATAATATTATATCGCCTTATCAAAGCGGTTTTCGAAAGGAAAGAACGACTGTAGATAATTATGTTTCTTTTAGAGACATCTATTCGAAAAGCCTTTGTCAGAAGAAGTCACCTTGTCTCAATATTCTTTGACATTGAGAAAGCTTACGATAAGGCATGGAGATACGGTATACTTCGGGATCTTCACGAGAGTGGCTTGCGCGGCAACCTACCAATTTTCATTCAGAATTTCTTGAATACTAGGACTTTTCAAGTAAGGATTGGCTCTGTTTTGTCAGATGTTTTTGAACAGGAAGAGGGTGTGCCTCAAGGCTGTGTGCTAAGTGTAACCCTGTTCATTTTAAAAATAAACTCTGTGCTAAAATAACTTCCTCCCACCATCTTGGGATCACTGTATGTAGATGATTTACAAATTAGCTGTCGAGGTACATAGAGAGGCAATTGCAGATGGCTCTGAATAAGATCCAAGAATGGTCAAACAAACATTGATTTACTTTTTCCAAACAGAAAACTGTGTGTGCGCACGTTTGTAGGAAGCGAGGTCTCCATCCTGAGCCTGAGATATATCTGAATGGTACAATTATTCCAATTGCGCCCGAAGTAAAATTTTTAGGAGTGACGTTCGACTGAAAATTGACTTTCCTTTCTCATGTTTTAAACCTGAGAAAGAAGTGTTTAAAAACACTAAATATTTTAAAAGTGTTGGCGAACACCTCCTGGGGTACAGAGCGTTGCTCTATGCTTCGCATCTACAGAGCCCTTGTTCGCTCTAGACTGGACTATGGCTCAGTTGTTTACGGATCCGCCCGGTCATCAGTATTGTTGAAACTGGATCCTGTTCACCACCAAGCTCTGCGGATTTGTTCAGGAGCTTCCAGGACTTCTCCTGTCCAGAGCCTATATGTTGACTCTAATGAACCATCACTTTATCTGAGGCATGAACAATTGTCCCTTTTGCAATATTTTAATATTCTATCCCAACCTGAACATCCCAATAAGCTATGCTTACTTGATGATGTGTGTAACACCTTATTTGAAACACGTCCATCCTCTGTTCCTACATTTCTTTTAAGAGTTCGCCCTGCCATTGAGGAACTTTCCCACTCTGATATGCACCCCCAAGCAGTACAGAATTTTGAAATCCCACCTTGGGAAAATGCACGGATTCAGCTTCTTGATCTTTTCAAGCATCACGTGAAACCAAACACTAACGAGATCATTTACAGGCGACTCTTTGCTGAGCACAGGCACAAATATAGCAGTTATCTTCCAGTATACACAGATGGATCCAAGTCAAAAGATCATGTCGGGATGGCATTTGTAATCGAAGATCACATGGAGGGCAGACGCTTGCTTGCACCATGCTTTCTCTGTCTTAACATCTGAACTAACTGCAATATATTATAGTCTTTTGTACATCTCAAGGCTCTGCCACAAAAGTTTATAGTTTATACAGACTCCTATAGTGCGCTTAAATCATTAGAAGCTTTTTCTAACGCTCAAATCCCTGTCATAGTGGATGTTCTCAAGATACATATAAACTTAACGAGTCGTGGATATGAAATCCTGTACTGCTGGGTTCACGGTCATGTGGGAATAAAAGGAAATGAGATGGCAGATATCACAGCGAAATGTGCTGTTGAACTGTCCAGTCGCCTCATCCCTTTTGGAGACATCTGTTGTGTAGTCAAAGAGAAGATCCGAAAAAAAAGACAGCAACTTTGGAATGTTCAGCTTCAAAACAAGTTAAGACATGGAAAGCCTAGAATTGAGCATTGGGAATTAACTAGAAACCGTAAGGAAGAAGTTCTTTTGACTCGCCTCAGAATTGATCACACTAGAGTCACACATAACTATCTTTTAAAAGCTGAGAGTGAGCCTGTTTGTTCAAGTTGTAATGTTTGTTTGTCTGTTCGTCATATTTTAATTGAGTGTCCCTGTTTTAACAGTCTTCGTCAGAAATATTTTAATAGCTGTGACTTACCTCTCCACCGTTTAATCGGAAGAGAGGTCAATTGTAATTTATTTTATTATTTAAAAGAGAATGGCTTTTATTACTTAATGTAATCTGTTCAGCAGATGTTGTATTATATTTTAATGTGTGCTTTTATCAGGCTTTTTAAATGACTTCATGCTCTGGATATGGTACATGTAGTTTTTATAAAATTTTTTATTAATAAATATTTCATTTCATTAAATTAGGTCATCCCACCATTTGTTTGGCGCATCATAATCATCATTGGTTTTTGCGCCAAAAAACTCACTCACTCACTCTTTAAAACCAGACAAAATTCAGCTTGATATCAGCATTCCGTTTTATAAAAATGCCCATATTTCGAGAGGATCTGTTCTTCGTCAAAGAGAGAAAACGTCTACTTAAATATGTAAAAACTAAATAGGTAATCAGTGGAAATGTTAAAATTGAGGCACCTTCTTTCGTGCTAAAGGTGAAGGGAAAATTCAAAAAATATTACGAGATAAGTTTTCTTTCTGTTTATACAGTGCAGCTCACAATACATCTCATCGCATTTTCCTAATTCTAATCATTATCCTTTCTATATTTACCTTGACGTTACTACGCTTATCCCGTATTTTCATCATTTTCGGTGAAATTAAGGTGGATACCGTACCTTGAAATTCAAAAGCATTCATGGAATTATAATCTTATTTGTGGATTTATAGGATTTGACTTATATCAGTAACGCACATATTTCTACAGTACCATCTAGAGATTAAAACACTTTCTAGAGGCCAAAAATTGGATTAAAGCATTTAATTATAATCATCGAATTTTCATGATAGTGAAAGGCTTCAGGGGAATATATTTCTACATGAGGAGAGTTTCAGATAACTTCCGCAGAACAGATATTAAAAGAATTGTTAAAGGTGCATTTATGATTAAGCTTTATTGGCAACAAAATAGTTGTGAACAATAGTTGAAAAATATCAGACTTTTCTGTCTAGTTCTCTCAAGCGAAAAACTAATTTTTTTTTTTCCTTGAAAGGTCTAATTGTTTTGATGAGAGGTTTTTAGTTTATCCTTTCTTATCTATATTAATTTGCAAAACTATCTGCAAAAATTCTTGCATTTATAGATTTAAATAAACAGAATGTGTGTAAAATATTCATTGATAAAAGAGGAAATGAACGTTTCTGGATTGTCAGTTATTTTTCTTCCCGGCACAAATTTTTCAGAAGCATAAATCTTTGGATTAGTTGTCTGAATTCGATTGCATACGCTTTAAAAAACTAGACAGTATATGAAAAGAACTCTGCATTGCGTTGCTACAAGAAGTTCATACGGAAATAACCAAATAAAAAACATATTGTTTATATATGGTACTTATTACAATACTAGCTTTTCTGCCGGAGTGATAAATCTTTGCCCATTAGTGCGTACCTTATATCAGACTACGCATTTATATCTACAACGAACTCCATTTCCATCAATATAATATGATAATAATTACTTCCGATGTCTCTTTCTTCTTTCTGAAATGTAAAAACTACTACTGCGGGCGCCGTTTAATGTGATCACGATTGCAAGAATATTTTGATACCATAATCATCAACAAATTTTATAATAATTAATTCGGAAAACTCTTACCTCTCGCTAAAACATGAAACATTAATTTGAATACCACTTAATGTGACCACGTTTAGCCAAGGATATTTCGATATCATTAAAAAATACCCTTTAAAATATCAACAGAATTTTGCAAATTTAAAACAAACATTCTTAGGGTATCCCCTCTCAGGCTTTGTAGGGAAATTATCAATTTCATAATTTTCTTCTTCAAACAATATATTTATTATGATGTTCTTGGATTGGTTTCAGATAACGGGTAGCTTCTGTCATTGGTGCTGCAACCTGAATTTGTTCAGATTTTTTGGCACGAAAGATATTTTTCAGATATTTAAGACCCGAAAAATAAGGTCGTATAGAATTCTGCTCCGTTATTCGCTGATTCTGATTAATCCAGTCGATGTACCTTAAACTTGGAAAACTAGCTTATTTGCATATTGTAGTCTTAAATCTAAACCAAGCTGTTTGGAGACTTACTTGGCGACATGTCTGTACCATTTGGTAATTACTATACTCTAATTCGACCATATTTGGTTAGTTTATTTCAGTTTAAAATATTCATTCTGCAGTATTTTGATAACATCAACTGAATGGTTGATCGCAATGAGATGTACTTTCCATGTTTCGTATACAAATAAGCGTATTTGACAGTTCATATAAATATCCGAATGGTAATCATTAACCGCGATCACATTAAGCGGCGCCTATGGTATTCCAGCCAGTTTTCCTGAGGCGACATAATTCTAGCTGGTATTCCAGAGGCCTTTATAGGAGCCTTATTCTCTATCAGAAAATCAACCATGACGTCACTAGATGGAGGATGAGGCTTATATCACGTACGCCTCGACTAGAGGATTGTGCATGCTCAAGCCTGTTCCAACAAACCGAAGCTGTGCCTAAGCCCCTTTGAGCATCCACGAACGAACATCTTCATAAGCCATCTGCATCTCGCTAACAGTATCCTTAGATTTATTTTAGCTTTATAAGTTATTACTTTAAATTTATTCTTTGCTGTTTTAATTGTACGATTTTCAATTTCTCTTTTTTATTTCACAAGTATATTTTTTTATTCTTTTTTTTTTCTCTCATTCTTATTAAATTTAATTTATTATTTTTTCATTCCATGTTATACTTTTTGCAAACATAAATTTCAGTTTTAATTTTCACAAACTAATGTTTCTATTTTTTTATTTACAAAGGTAAATTTATTTTTTACATTACTTTTCTTTTCACTTTTTATTTTACGAAAGTAATATTTTTTACAATTTTTCCTTTTCATTTAAAAAAGTTTTCCTTTTTCTGCGTTTTACTTTTTTTATTTTATAAAAGTAATATTTGTTTTCATAATTTTAATTTTTCCTTTTCGCTTTTTATTTTAAGAATGTTGTTACATTTTTAGTTTATTTAGCTTACAAAAGTGATACTTGTTTTTATATGTTTAATTTCTTTTTTCATTTTTCTCTATCCACAAACGCAATTTTTGTTTTAAATATTGCCAAGTAACGTCACGGTTGTTTTTCCTGATACACAACGTCGAGAGAAGTTTCTAATTGTCTGGCCGTGGCTCAGCGGTAACGTGCGCGTTTCCCGTGAGAATAGTTGTGTGTTGAAAATCAGGTGTAGGGTTATTTTTAAAACTCTTGAAAATTACATGACAATTATTCATTAAAAATTACTGTTTTAAATTAAGAAATCAATAAAAAAAATGGCAAAATAAATAAGTAAAATAATTACGAATTAAATAATTAAAAATCAAGACAGATTAGATAATTAAAATCAATAAAGGTAAAACATTCATCTGAAAATTAAAAGTATCTTACAAGTGTAAAAGAGGATTCTGGATTCAAGAAGTATTTCTAATTTGTTGTATATTTATTCATTTGACCAGCACACTAGAAGTAATCGTATTTCAAACTTGAAAGTAATACATACAGCTAAATTTATGAAGTGTAAATTATCTCATCAGTTACTGCCTTCTTATACATTTACTCTGCTATTGGGAACAATAAGTAATTTTTAGCAGATCATATAAAATTTATGAACCCTGTTTTTCTTCTTTCACTCACAGGCACTGGTGGTTCCGATGTCTTGAAGCAGGCTTACCATCCTGTACAACATGATGCATTATGCAGACGATTGGTTGGAAGAGAATTCAATCCTAGTACTATGATATGCGCAGGAAGCATGGCTCCTTTGAACGGAGTCTGTCACGTGAGTACTATCTTTCCTTTTCTCAATTCTCGGACCATTGATCATTCCTGGCAGAATCCTTGCATACTTCTTCATCGGCAAGTACGGCCGGCTTTTGCGAATAAAGATATTCGGCGCCGTATATAGTTCAATACATAATCGATTTAGCATTTATCTTAAAATGTCTGGGATTTGTTGTATGAGCATCTGCTGACTGGTTACAAAAGACACGCCAGATCAAAAGAAATAAATATTTTTCGATAAATTTTCGCATAAATTTTTTTTATGCATACATTTATAATTTGAAAATTTGTTGCGAATATGATGTCGGGGTTGACTAAAGATATTCATCGGGATCTGCTCTATGCCACTTCAATGTAGTGAATAAGACAATTCGCGTGAATTTTTTTATTGTCTAGAATGGGATTTCCAACGGGGTCGGTACTGAATTCTGGGCATCCATGAAATTTTGAAGTGTTTAATGATGATAAAGGGGTCGAGTAAGGGCTGATAGCCGAAAAAGCACCAGCAATTGATCCGCATAATCAAAATTGATTATTAAAAAATTATTCACAAAATTGATAATTAATTGTTCATTGACATAAAGCTGGATGAAATCACGTAGAATAAACATAAAGAGAAAATACTATAAAATTATTTAATATATTTTAAAAATCAATAATGTTTTTCAAACTATATAAATTTTTGTGTAATATGTGCAATATTAAAATGTATAACGCAAGAACAAAAAAACAACAAAAAAAAAAAAAAAATACAAAGACCCAAAGCCTAGAATGGAAAACAATAAATGTTTAAATATCTTTGATCGAGGTATTAGTTTTTATGGCAAATATTTAAAAAAATGCATCAGTATATCAAGAGCAGCCATCACATAAAATTAAAACCGAACTTCTGTACAATTAGAATATGCGATTTTGTTTCTGCAAACTTGTTTATTAATAAATTAAAATTATAATAATACAAAAAATAATTAAATACAAATCTAATAAAACATTACATTCCGGAATTTTTTTCATGTTCTTAGACAAACTGTTATCTTTAAGTTAATTATGAGCAATTACTTTTATAACGATTATGTTGTATATTGTATAGCATAAAGAAAAATACAAGGGGGTATTTATTTATATCAATGGAAGAAAATGGTTGGGAATCTCTGGTCTGAAACCTGAAATATGAGATCTTTAGAGAATACCCGAATCTCAAATATTCCCTGATTATCAAATAAATTCGCCAATTGCGGATCCATTTCTTTTTTTCTGATTTCAGTTACAGCCGTTGTATAGTTTTTTTCTGAAATTTAAATTATTTTAATATTTATATTAATTGAACTAATTAGTATAATTTTTTCAATAGATTTTATGGTAAAATTATGTCGCAAAATATCCTTATTAAGAAAAACCAGAAATTTTGAATCTTGATTCAGAAAACTTTAGCTTGAATTGCCAAATGAATTCTGTCCGCTTGTTGCGGAACAATGTTTCTGACTTGCCAAAAGTGTCGCCGTCAGTTAAGTCAGTCATGATTTACATAAAATTGTTTGTCACTAACAAAACCGTTTCCAAGCGACAATCTTTTTTTTTTTTTTTTTTTTTTTATTTATTTATTTTTTTTTTAAAGTGCTACAGGGTAGCAGAAACTGCATGTGTATGTGGTAAGATTTATAAACACACCCTCCTTTTGAAAGGAAATCTTAAATTCATCGACTCATGTGGATAACACAGCCAAAAATTGACTGCATATTGCTTGCTGAATGTGCTAAGGTAACAAAAATCATCACAATATTCATAAATTTACAGGACTAGTTTCGAAGGTTTAAATACAAAGCTTTCTTCTTCAACTAAAGGAGTGAGCCCACCAGCGGCCGAGCGGTGAAGTCTCTGAACACTGGTAGTTCGGTCCACTGGTTCCTCTCATTGTTATCTCCGGCGCACAGGCTTCTCTTCCGTCATTTGCTCACTCTTGGAGCTAAAGAAGAAAGTTCTATATTTAAACCTTCGAAACTAGTCCTGAAAATTTACGAATATTACGCTCATTTTTGTTGCTTTAGCACCTCCAATAATTAGCCGTGAGATTAACTAACAATGCTCGTCACTGAAAGTTTAGAAACTTGAATAATTAGAATTAGCTTGTCTAATTTCATTACAGTACGTTTGAGAGAATTACCGGAATGAGATTTAGTGACTAATACGATAGGAAACTAAATGCGGTACACAATGGCACCAAGCGAATGGATCGATAAAGGATTGCCCCAATCTTCTCATCAATAAAAAAACCATTACGGTAAACTCAGGATTAACCAGGATGTATGGAACCGGGATTTAGGCTGAATAAGTAAATGGGCGGATAATCAGAAAAAGTATACAAAGGGCTTTGATAAGTTATAAAATAGATTTTAAAAGTTTGCTTATGTATTTTATGAAGGTACTGATTTAACATTTATTTAGCAATTATTAATAATAAATCAGCAATTTTTATTCATCAGCTTTTCATTATTCATTTTTAGCAAAATAATATCTTTTCGAAGAAATTACGTTATTAGTAAACGACTTATTTTGCTGTTCGACATATCTTCGTAAATACATTTCGCTTGCTCGAGTTCACTTCAAACTGACATAAATTTAAAACAACAATAAGAATGAATAAAAAAATAACCCTCGATGCGATTACGATCCGAGAGGCATAGATAACAACATTAACTAAAGCATTGTTTAGTGTCTTATACTCCCCTCCTCTTTCATGTTTCAAAAAGGAAAATGTACGGAAATCTCTCTCTCTGTACATTTACAACCTCAAGGTATCAGTTACGATTTGGATATAGAGCGAGTTAACTTCATGACTGACTCAGGCATGTACTCACCACTGATTTAATATGTGCACTATGAAACAGCAATGCACCTTTCTGTCTTGGAAACAGGCATTTCAAGTGAATTGTATTATATAAGATTTATATATAAAAATTCTATGCTACATATGTCCAACTAAATTTGTCATTTGTGATAAAAAGCTCCAAAGTTCCTTCTTCTTTAAGAGAAATCAAAAAAGGAACCACGGAATGTCGGTTCCAGAGCTTTCAAAGCAGCAGTTCGCTGTAATCTTATTTAATTTTATGGGCAAAATAATACGCCTTTGTTGAATATAGAGCACTGCGTCTTTTTTTAGATTTCGCGAAGACAATTTCGCGGAAAGTTATATTGATATAAATAAATATGGTCAGGAACAGAAAGCGGCTGCGGTTGAAAGTGAAACCAAATAAGAAGGAGTCTTTTGTACCTGCTTAGCATAGTAAAAGCGAGTTATTCGTGTATTTCCTCCACTGCAGTTACATATTTTAGGAGTATTTTAAAGTAATATCAGATTGATTGTATAGTAATGCGGTATTGAGATTAATAATTTTAAACTGGAAAAAATTGCAAAATTTTAAATTATTAATACAATGTTAATTGCTTTTTACAACTTCAAATCATTTTCCAGACACTTTTCAACCCTCGTTTTGAAAGATTCGTTCAGTTTCACCGCAAAATATTCATTTATTAAATTTTGGACCTCCTGCTTTCTGGGGATGTTTTTGTCAACAAGAAAATGCTGTAGTGATTCAACAGATAATAAATGGAAAGGGATTCATCATCAACTCTTTGATGATGAATAACAATTCTTCATTATTAAACGTTTACCCATTAAATATTACAAAATGTGTTTAAGTAGTGTCCAACTGAAGAATGTAATAATCCAGACCTAACATATCTAACCGTATACAAAAACAAGCAAAACAAACTTTGGATGCAATTCTGGCTTTTTGAAAGATTAGATTTTCTTTTGGGCTCAACCATGTCTTTTTCTAGAAACATTAGCATAAAGTGTTTTTTCTTAACTGTAGTCACAGTACGCCTGAAGAAAGAAGTTCGCTTTATTTCTTGTGAACAAACGAAGTGTAAATCGATACTCGTTTTTGAGAGTTTCCAACTATGACTTCATGCTACATCAAACATACCAGCATAGGAAATTTTCCTTGTTATTTTAAGTAATCTACTGAGTATCCACTCAGTAATGTGAAGTTTCTCCTAATTTTCAATACATCTTCTTCCACGTCTCCTAATCACACTTCTAGGCTTGTCCACGAGAATAAAATTTACATTTCGGAAAGTTTCAAACTCCCTTTGGTATTGGCATTCACAGATAATATCTGTGAAAAAAATCTTCCTGTTAAATTTCTGTAGTAATTCAATGCAGGTGGAACTTAAAAAAGCATGATATGAAGAATATCATAACCCAACCTGATAGGATACGAAAATGGCATTTCTAAAGTAAACGTAGATTTATATTTTAAAGAAAAAAAATCACATTGTATTGTAAAATAAAATAATTTATTTGACATGTTTTTGTCAGATAAGAGAGAAAATAACTTCATGGATTCTTTCCCTTCCAAATTGCAGATATTATTTCTTGTCAAACAACCACAGCGAAGCACTTCCTCCGGCAGAGAATGTCAGAAAATGTTACTGATCCGTCTACTACTTCCGGCACAAATTTATCTGCGATGGGGAAATTTGCAATTATCCATTTGTTTAAACTGAAGTGGGTAATGCATTTTTTTTAAACTTTGCCATTTGCATTTTGCATTCAAGGTCGTATCACGCCTACGAAACTGCAACACTTACGAAATCTCACATACCACACTGCGTAACTTTTGCGACGCTGGAAAAAAAAATTGTTGGATGCTGTTTTTCACATAGTCAACCAATCAGCAAGGTGACATTTACTACGCAAAATTCCTGAATTGGATTTTCCTTGAAAGTTGTGTTCGTGATTGATTGAAAGAGTTTGTTGTCCTGTTTGATAGCAGTTTAACATGTCGCATATGCTTTACATTTATCATATCGCAAAGGGCATGTGAAATACAATCGCACCCTGAAACCATGAGTTGCCTTGTTCTTACAGAAGGAAACAGGATACATAAATATATATATTTGTCTAATTTATATTATATTCACTTAAATTATCTT